CCCCCCCCCCCCAGCACTCGGCGGAAAGTTCAGGCCACCAGCACGGCGCGGGTTAAAGCGTCATAACCATTGAAGTTTTAGACATATTACCACGAGACAAAGTGTGAAATGGAAGGAATAGATCAGGCTTTAATTTGAGGATAACAATATTGGCGTAATTAACTAATTAGTGAACTTAATTAAAATTCGAAAAATAAATTTTGATTTTCTGAAAAATGGTTATCCTTCGATTTTGCTGATTTTTACATATCTTATTCTCCTATACATTAGCTACATCATATAAAAAATCCAGAATGGGCCGACGTCTATGTCACTGTCTTTTGGACTTCGTAATGTCTGGCACTCGCGTGTTTCGTTTTAGCAACCAAGGAAAGGCACTACCCGGAGATGCTTCTTTCTACCACAAACAAAGCAAGCCTAACCTGACCTGACGTGACCTGACCTAATCTAACACGCGTAAATATGTACAGCCCTCACGGCAGTTGCCGACTGGCCAGATGCTACTTAAAAAACGAATGCGTGTTAAAACACTTCAGGCTGACCGGCCGCGAGCCAGCGGCCTTTAGATTTCGAGGTGGGTACACTCGGCGCACTTACTACTAAGCCACGAAGATAGCTGGTCATCGTAAGCCAGTTTTTTTAAATGATGAAATTGGGCATTCTCCGGGCAGCGCCTCTCTTTGGTTGCAAAAAGGAAATACGTCTGACTCTCCCAGTGCTAGGGGAGAAAGGCCCGGTTAAGCAAAAAAAGAAAAAGGTATAAAAAAAAAACGAAATTTGAATTGTAGGTGGGGCGGTGGGGAACTTTATCGTGTGCCAATTTCATGGCCCTAGATCAATATCATCAAGATCAAATGAGGTTAAACGTGATCAAATTTACTGTAGTGACTATTTTGCGTTTATACGCCCATAGCTCTAAGAGTTACTGGCCGATTTTCCTATTTCTTCCTTTATACGACATTTGTAGTGTTATGAGAATCTCTAGTTAATCTTACCATAAATTTGGCAGTTAGTGGCCTGCTAAGAGTAAGATGTCGCCGGCAGAGGCGGGGATCGGCCGACGCGGGTGGCTTTTGTTTTCAGCCTGGCGGAATGTTCATACTGGTGCGGTTCCCTTTTATCGTTGTGTGTGTTGATGCATTTTATTTCCCTGACTTCACCTGTTAGTGGAGAATTTCTCTGTTGGTGATAATCACAAATAAACAAATAAACGAATAAACCGTCACTCTGTCAGTTTTACACCAGCCGGAGGGCTGCTCTGTGCTGATGGAAGTAACAGCTGTAAATAACAACGGAACTTCACCGGAACCGATGCATGTTGACGAAGGGGACGGTATTACAGCGGGTACATCAGTGTCAACTTTGGAGACAATCGAAAATACATCGATCCCGATGGAACTCGATGAAAGTTTCATCGACACATTTTAGTGGACTTTCCTTGAGATGATCTTTTGAACATGAAATTCTTGAGCACGAAATGCACCGACCAGTTAGCCGTTCCTGGCATCTCCTGGCTGCACTCGGTGGTACCTATCAGCAATCCGCCGTCAGCCCATGCCGATAAGGTTCGAGGTCGTGCGCTGGTGACACCTGACCTAAGACTCATAAACTGCGTCAATATGATAAGAACGATAACTGCTCGGTCATGCTCGACGCGGCCGGCCCGGCAGGCGCTGTAGCAGAGTACAAAATTCGCTGCTGTCTGAGGCCTGTTTCACTAAAAACTTACGATTGCAAGTGTTTGAACTTTACAATTCACAAGTGTCATTGCAAACTATGTAAAATCCAAATTCCGATTTCACTAAACTTCACCGCCAGTGGCACCTCCGATAAAAAGCGTTCGCAAATAAACTTGTTAACATGTATAAAACGTAACGTAACATACGAAACGAGCTGGAGAAAACGAAAGATAAAAGAGGGGCAGGGCATATATATATAGCGAAAACGAACGAATCGACTCTCATGAACACGAGACCAGGGGTGCAAATGAGTTGATGCGTATCGTGTGATTAAGTGTCAGCGGTAGGTAGATGTGTGTTTTATGTGTTTCTTTTTACAGAGGTTACTGGTCGTTTATCTGACGTGTATATGTTTGAAAATTTAATGAAACTGTGTGACAATTGTACTTTTAATGTGGTGCACTGATTATTTGAACTATACGATTTTGCCTCGAACCGAACGATACCTCGATGTTTTGTATTTCTGTTTTTTTTTAGTGTTTGTTGTGTGACTTGGCTGAAGAAGGGAACCGAAGTGCTCTTGAAAGCTTCCGTTTAAATAATAAAGCTGATGTCAAAACAACGTTTTATACATAAACTATGTCCCAGCTGAACAACAACATTTACAACTAAACTTGTAAACAGTAAAATTGTTTTTAATCAAAAGAACTAATAACATGTTACCAATATTGCATATTGTTATCAAATTATGTCTGGTTCTTATGCCAAAAATTGCATAATTAAATTACAAATAATGATTCTGTTGCAAAATAGTATAAATGACAGTTTACGATATCTTATTATCGAAAGAAAATAATAGTCTTGGTCAGCCCGCCGGCCGGACCTCCGGGTCAATTGGAGGGCACGGGCAGCCATCCGAATTCAGGGTGTGGAGAATCGGTTAAATTAAACGCCTTGCGACTTACCAGTAACTTAAGTCTTCAGTCATAATTCATGAGAAAGTCATCTATCCCTGTAAGGTTATAGTCGCAAGTACTTGCACGTAAATACAGATGCTAGTCTGGGAACTAGGAGCCAGGTAGAAATAATTTTGGATGAAATTGAATTGATCGTCTGTGAAATCATGGTGCGTCATCCAGTTTTCTCAGCATTTCAACTAGCGATTCTCGTGGTGTGTTCAAAGAGACGTTTACAAAGAGGGTCGAACTTAGAAAAAAGAACTATAGCCAGCGTATTGAACAAGAAACAACGGTGTCCTTCCACTAAAATAAACGGAATTCATACAAAACGCAAAAATGGAGCGAGGAACAAAAGTGACCATAGTGTGCACATTAAATTTGCCGTTCTAAACATCATACGATTTATAGTTTTATTCATATCAATTGACCATTTTCTCCCCGAGAGTTAAGTTGCGATTTTTCACGATGTCGCCTTCCTTTAGTAGCATACTATATATGGCCTTGAGTAGCATGCTTCAGCCAACTTAGCGAGTTGACTTATGTTGATTGAAAAACACACACACTCCTCATGCCCTTGTAATCACAACAATCTCCATAGGAAAACAGTGAAATCAAATTCATAATGCACGGCCGACGAAGCTCGCTGGCGCTGCACGTGTATTGCTAGCAGGATCGGTTCCGGACAGTCTGTCACTAGCAGGATTGTAGGGTGAATATTATTTGTGTTTTAACTATAAATGCTTGTAATTATTCTAATTTTATTTTGTGTTTTTGCGATATGTGTAGTGTGCTACTGCTGACTGTTGATTCAACAGATGTACTGCCTGTCTGTCGGGAGGTCTGAGGCCTGTTTCGCTAACAAATAAAGTTTGCAATTACAAATAAAAAACTTGAGTTTAAAAGAAATAATTACCAACATTTGAGATTTGGATTTCACGAAAGCTTTGAGCAAGAATTTTGAGTTAACAATTTACGAACTAATCTACCAGAAAAAAAGTTTGTAAGAAACATCGAAATCGCAAATTTTGTGTTTCACAAAGACCAAAAACTTAGAAGAAAACGTTATACTTACTAATCCGAAATTCTAGTGGCCCTGACGTTCGGAATTTTGCCACTTTTTTGTGCAATAATGCAAAGTAATCAATTATTTAAAACAATTATGCTTTGCTGAGTATTTTATGCTCTTTTTTACATAGCACAAATTCTATGAGCAAGCTATAAACAGTATTAAAATAACGTCATGTTTTGTCATTCGCGTCGTGCATTCAACAGGCTTCTGCTGTCCAATGTTTTGCGTGCTATTTTCTTTCAATAATAAGATATTGTGAATTATCATTTATGCCTATTATTTTACAACATCGTTAATTTTTATTTGATTATGCAATTTTTAGCATGAAAACTAGACATAATATAATAAAAAGATGCAATATCGGTACCATTTTATAGTTCTTGATTAAAAACAATTTTACTGTTTACAAGTTTATTTGCAAACTCTTTTTATCTATCGGAGGTGCCACGGCCCACGGGTGGTGAATTTTAGTGAAGTCGGATTTTACATAGTGTGCAAATTCTTAAGCTCAGGCTACACCAAGGCCCTATATAGAAGGCTACACTACAAGCGTTTTTTCGGTTTCTGCGTGATTTCGGTTTCCGCGTTTTTACGGTTTCTGCGTTTTTTCGTTCCGGGCGGCCGCCGCGTGGACGGTGTTGTTTATAGCATAGTGATGGATAAGTGATCAAATTAATTAATTATTCATGTTAAATAGTGTCGTGTTTTAACAAAATTATAATCAAATAATTGTTTTAAATATTTTACAACTAACAAGAATATATTTTCGACCATAATCATTTGTCAGCTTAATTACAATTATCATATTTGAAGTAGAATGATGAGTTTTGAAACACATATTGTCGTTTTTAATCATGAATTACACCATTTTCATTATTTATATCTGAAACTGTTCCGTCGTCACAATATTATTAGCAACAATCACTTCTAATCATTCATCACTAAAACGAAATCCCGCAGAAACCGAAAAAAAGTTCACAGCTCTGAACTTTTTTTCGGTTCCGACTCGTCGGTTTTTGCGGGTTTTCGTTCCACGGGACGCCAGACTGGCAGTGTAGCTTGCGCAATGCATTCGCTATGAGGCGAACTTGACGACGCGAACCGAAATCCCGCAGAAACCGAAAAAAACGTCGGAATTCATGCTAGTGTAGCTTAGGCTTTATGAATTGTGAAGTTCAAACACTTGCAATCGCAAGTTTTTAGTAAAACAGGCCTCTGGTCTGTTCTGCCCGATATTCTGCCTGTCTGTCGGCAGGTCTGGTCTATTCTGCCCGGTGTACCGTCTGTCGGCAGGTCTGGGAGCTGACCGGGTACACGCTGCTCTACAGCTGCCACTCGACTGCGGCACGGCCGGTCGGCGCCGTCGCCGTGACCGCTGACCTGCTGGCCTCCGGCTGCGGCTCGCTGGTCTCTGCGGCGGCGCAGGTGGCCGGTCGGCGCTGGACAGATGTGACCACCACCCCGCTGGACAGGGTCGGCGCGGCCTGCGGTACGTCCGGCCCGGCAGCCGGTAACGCCCCCAGCTGGTGGGCCGCCCTACCGTGCTGCGGCGTGTCATGTCCCGTAAAACAGACCATCTTCAGCCTAGCTGAGGCCTGTTTCACTAAAAACTTGCGATTACAAGTGTTTGAACTTTACAATTCAAAAGTATTTTTGCAAGCTATGTAAAATTCGATTTCACTTCACTTTATCACCAGCAGCATCTCCGATAAAAAGAGTTTGCAAATAAACTTGTTAACAGTAAAATGGTTTTTAATCAAGAACTAGGTAGGTATGCCATGTCACCAATTTTGCATCTTTTAATCAAATTATGTCTAGTTTTTATGCCAAAAATTGCATAATTAAATTATAAATAATGATGCTGTTGCAAAATAATATAAATGATAGTTCACAATATCTAATTATTGAAAGAAAATAGCACGCAAAACATTCGACAGCAGAAGACTGTTGAATACAATTATGGGGCGCGAATGACAAAACATGACGATGTTTAAATATTGACTATTGTTCGTAGCTGGTTTATAGGAATTGTGCTAACTAAAAAAGAGCATAAAGGCCTGGCTACACTAGGCGCTTTCTGCGTGCGTTTTTTTTTTTTGGCGTGTTTGCGGGTTTTGCGTAATATCTCTAGAAAAAAGGTTATTATTAATTAAACTTCTTTAATATTTATATAAAAGTTTTTAGAACGTTTATGTTAATTAAAAGTCTTTATGAAAAACATATAACAAAAACGTAATGTCGTTTCTTTCTAGAACGATTTTCCGCAAATCACGCAACCTCGCAAAAAAAACGCACGCAGAAAACGCATAGTGTAGCCACTGCATAACATGTTTCAGCATAGCATATTTGTTTTAAGTGATTGATTGCTTTGCATTAGTGCAGAAAAAGTAACAAAATTCTGAACGTCAGGGCCACTGGAATTTCGGGTTTGTAAGTACAACGTTTTCTTTCAAGTTTGTGGTCTTCGTGTAACAGAAGTTTGTGAGTTGTGACTTTTATGTTTCTTACAAACTTTTTTCTTGTAAAATAGTTATTAAATTGTTAACTCAACATTCATGCTCGGAGGTTTCGTGAAATCTAAATCTCAAATATTGGTAATTATTTCTTTTAAACTCAAGCCTTTTCTTTGTAATTGCAAACTTTATTTGTTAGTGAAACAGGCTTCAGAGGCCCGTTTCACTAAAAACTTGCGATTACAAGTGTTTGAACTTCACAATCCATAAGTATTTTTGCAAACTATGTAAAATCCGATTTCACCAAACTTCATTACCAGCAGCACCTCTGATAAAAAGAGTTTGCAGATAAACGGTAAACCTGTAAACAGTAAAATTGTTTTTAATCAAGAACTATAAAATGTTGCTGATATTGCATCTATTTTATCAAATTTTGTCTAGTTTTCATGCAAAAATTGCAAAATTAAATTATACATAATGATGCTGTTGCAAAATAATATAAATGATAGTACACAATATCTACTTATTGAAAGAAAATAGTATGCAAAACATTTGACAGCAGTAGACTGTTGAATGCACTTATGGTGCGCGAATGACAAAACATGACGATATTTAAATATTGTTCGTAGCTGGTTCATAGGGATTGTGCTAAGTAAAAAGGCGCATAAAGTGACTCAGCATAGCATAATTGTTTCAAATAATTTATTGCTTTGCATTATTGTACAAAAAGTAACAAAATTCCGAACGTCAGGAACACTGGAATTTCAGGTTTGTAAGTACAACGTTTTCTTTTAAGTTTTTGGTCTTCGTTAGACAGAAAGTTTGCGATTTCGATGTTTCTTGCAAACTTTTTCTTGTAGAATAGTTTGTAAATTGTAAACTCAAAATTCATGCTCGAAGGTTTCGTGAAATCCAATTCTCAACTGTTGGTAATTATTTCTGTTAAACTCAACCTTTTTACCTCGTAATTGCGAACTTCATTTGTAAGTGAAACAGGCCTATGATGTGAAAATATAGTCATGCCCACTAATATTAACATCAGTGGCCTGTTTCACTAACAAATAAAGTGTGCAATTACAAAGAAAAAACTTAAGTTTAAAAGAAATAATTAGCAACATTTGAGATTTGGATTTCACGAAACCTCCGAGCATGAATTTTGAGTTTACAATTTGCAAACTATTTTACAAGAAAACAAGTTTGTAAGAAACATTGAAAATGAAATCGCAAACTTTCTGTTTCACGAAGACCAAAAACTGGAAAGAAAACGTTGTTCTTACAAACCCGAAATTCCAGCGGCCCTGACGTTCGGTATTTTGTTACTTTTTGTACAATAATGCAGAGCAATTGATTATTTAAAACAAACATTGTTATTCTGAGTCATGTTATGCTTTTTTACTGAGCACAATCCCTGTGAACCAGCTACGAACAATTTTTAAATATCATCATATTTGTCAATATTTGTGTCATTTGCGTGCTAATTTCTTTCAATAATAAGAAATTGTGAACTATCATTTATATTATTTTGCAACAGCATCATTATTTATAATTCAAGTATCCAATTTTTGGCATGAAAAATAGACGTAGGTAATTTGATAAAAAGATGCAATATCGGCAACATGTTATAGTTCTTGATTAAAAGCAATTTTACTGTTTACAAGTTTATTTGCAAACTCTGTTTATCGGAGGTGCCGCTGGTGATGAAGTTGAGTGAAATTGGATTTTACATAGTTTGCAAAAATACTTACGAATTGTAAAGTTCAAACACTTGTAAATTGTAATCGCAAGTTTTTACTGAAACAGGCTTATGCGATTACTTTTTCGCGTAGGCGGTGAAGAAACTGATTGGCGGCTGATAAATGAACGCTTAAAAATGAACGCAGTTGGCGATATTTCAATTGTTAAAACTAACCTGTGATTACATTGATGATAAAATATTAAAATCTTGCGTATTTTTTGGTCATTCGGTTAAAAATGAAATATATCTGTTGCATTTCAATAATCACTTTCAAATTAATTTTGACATTAAGTCTAGAGCCATGCCAGCCATCGAAACCATCTGAAACGATTCAGACTTACCTACTTTTTTTTATAAAAACGTTTCTTTGAACATGGTTGTAATGAAGGAAACTGGTAAAATGCTCGTAATATCGGAAAAATTAACTGAAAAATGACCGGAATATATTTTCGAACTTGTTTCTTCTTCGGTAGCATCAACAGAGGCGAGCAAGTGATATAACATATTTTTGAACTTGGTTCTTCTTCGGTGGCATCAAAATGGCGAGAGAGCGTCAGGATATATTTTTCATGCTTGATTCTTCTTCTCTGGCATCAAAAATGGTGAGAGAGCGACAAAATATACTGAACTTGGTTTTTCTTCGGTGACATAAAGAATGGCGATAGAGCGACAGAATATATTTTCGAACTTTGTTCTTATTCAGTGGCAATAAAAAATGACTTTCTATACATTTTTAACTAACTTCTCCGATAAAGTGTGAACATTAAGTCAATCCTACTATTTTTATTGATTCAGACATAATCTAAATTCGGGCATTCGCTGCTGAAATGTCGATCGTAAACCCACTCACCGTAAAACTTGCTGAAGCTGGCAATGCTACGGTAGGTACTTGCACTTGGTCACACGGACGCAGATCGTATCTCGCTTGAAGTTCTGTCGCTGCATTTCAGCCCACCGAGGCCAGGCTGACCCGCCGACCTCAATTGAACATCGGACGGGCCCCCTGACCCCGGCGGGGGCCCCCCGTGACCCGCCCCATCCCTGGCGTCCGTCGGGACGACTGCGGGATTTTGTGCGGGGCGGAGGGGGCCCAGTCCCCGCTTAGAGAAGCTAGGACATTACACTTTGTGATCAATCTGCAAATGATTGGGACACAACGCCGACGAGCTCGCTGTCGGCGGTGGTTATATACCGGGTGTGACGTCATTTAGAGGCGTTCGCTGATTGGTGGGATGTTGCACCACCTTGGCACAGTCTGCCGGGCGGTGCAATGGTGACGGTTCTCGAAAGCTGACGGAATGATAGCGCCTCTGACGTCGACGGAATTAGATGGCAAATCTGTGCAGAGCCGAGCTATAGATAACATGAGTCATTATAGGATGTTTAGATGACAGGATTCATAGCTCGAAACATTTATGTGATCTTCGGCGGGGGGAATGCAATTCATACGGGCTCAGCTTTTTGCAAATGCAGAAATGTTGTGTTTTGATTTCGCACTTTTGACGTGAAAGGAGGCTTGAAATACCAACTTAAATGTCCGACTATGCACACTGTGCACGTCCGGTCTGTATCTCGAACGACATATTGTCTAGGGGTGCTATCTTTCTTTAACTATGACAAAATTGCTTATGTTTCGCTGTGGGTATCGCAGATTCACCCGTCATTTCGGGATTGAGGACGATTGGAATGGCACGCCTAACCCAGCCTAATCTCGTAAATACCCCTCTCCCCACATACACACACCTGTTATCCACGGGCAACCACACACCCTACCCTCCCCCACGGGCAACCACACACCCTACCCTCCCCCACGGGCAACCACACACCCTACCCTCCCCCACGGGCAACCACACACCCTACCCTCCCCCACGGGCAACCACACACCCTACCCTCCCCCACGGGTAACCACACACCCTACCCTCCCCCACGGGTAACCCCACACCCCACCCTCCCCCACGGGTAACCCCACACCCTACCCCGCCCACTTTGAAGGCGTCCAACCCTGGCACAGCTGCCCTCTGGCTGTCGGCAGCCATTCACCGCTCACAAAGCTGTCCTGTCGGCAGGCGGCCGCGGCAGCCCGCAGCCCGAGTGTGCTGTGCTGGCCGTGCGCTTCTGGCAGCGGCCGAGCGGGGCTCTCTTCGGTCCCGACCGGCTGCTGGTGGTCGTCACCACGGACGGTCTGCGCGTGCTCAACACCCGTACCTGGCTGCCGCTGTACGCGGTCAACGGGACGGGTCAGTCAACGGGACATGTCAGTCAACGGACGAGTCAGTGAATTACCGGGACGGGTCAGTCAGTCACTGGGACATGTCGGTCAACGAGACGGGTCAGTCACTGGGACATGTCGGTCAACGGGACGGGTCGGTCAACGGGACGGGTCAGTCAACGGGACATGTCAGTCAACGGGACGGGTCAGTCTTCGGGACAAGTCAGTTAACGGGACGGGTCAGTCACTGGGACATGTCGGTCAATGGGACGGGTCAGTCACTGGGACATGTCAGTCACTGGGACGGGTCAGTCACCGGCGGCAGCGGTGGAGCTCGGCGGGCTCTGCCGAACGTGCAGATGACATCATTGGGAGAGGGAGCTGGCGGGCATACGACTCGTGGTTGTGGGTGGTGTCAGCTGTCAGAACTCTGAATATTCGCCGTGGGATGGTGTCGACATGTGGGATATGCTTAAACGTTGCTGGTTTCATGATATCGATTTTATTACACGAATGGTCTGTGCTCACTGGCAATACCTGTCATCTGCTCACGCCCTTTCTGACCCGGCCCCATCAGGCGACGGTGAGCCGTGGGGCGGTAGTTCGGCCGCTGTGACACCAGGCGGCGCTGCGGTCGTCTGCTGCCGCAGTGCCCTCGAGGGCCACGTCTCGGCCTTCTGCCTGACCGTCCGGTCGGGCACTGACGAGGCTGGAGACCCCGCCGACCGACTCCGGACGCTCTCCATCGTGTGCCGGTGGGTGCCCTGCCCCCGGGCGGGCGATTGATGCCCTGATAAAATAAGTAAATTCAATGCTCTATTCTTGCTTGCTGGGATGAAGACGTCAGTTGTGTTACCACCTGCGGTTCCGGGAGCTTGATTCGTGGCCATCACCCAGTAGAACTGGAGATTAGTAGACGAATGCACAGTACAATGCATTACTATAGCCCAGTCCGTGTGGACAGTACTCTGTAGCGGTTTCGGCTCCCAGGGAGCCCCCCCCCCCCCTGTGGCAGCCCCCTGAGGCGGACGGTACCCGCTGTTTACCCAGTCCCTTTGACAGCCCCCTGTGGAGGTCTAGGCTGCCGGGGAGCCCCTCCCCCCCAGCCCCCTCCCTCCTCTGACGACTGACAATCCCCTTTCGCGAACGGTCTCCGCTGTCTGCCCGGTCCCTCTAACATCCCCCTGTGGCGGTCTCCTCTCACAGTGATCCACTGCCGGCCCGGTCCGTGCTGCGTGCCCGGCTGCCGCGCGCCGCGCCCGCCCAGCCCGCCCCCAGTCGGGTGCGCTCGTCGGGGTATGGTGCTGCGCCGCGCCGGGCCATGTTCCAGCCCAGGACGAACGCCACCCGCTCACGGACGGCCAAGGTAGGGGTGAGCCTCGGCTGGACAGAGTGCCCCTGACACCGCGGGAGCGAGCCTCGGCTGGACAGAGTGCCCCTGACACCGCGGGAGCGAGCCTCGGCTGGACAGAGTGCCCCTGACACCGCGGGAGCGAGCTTTGGCCGGACAGAGTGCCCCTGACACCGCGAGAGCGAGCTATAGCCGGACAGAGTGCGTCCCTGACACCGTGGGACCCGGGAGCGAGAGCTTCGACCGGACAGAGTGTCCCTGACACCGCTAGAGCGAGCTTTGGCCGGACAGAGTGGCCCTGACACCGCGGGAGCGATCTTCGGCCGGACAGTGCGTCCCTGACACCGCCGCACCAGCGCCACCTAGCTCCCCAGACAGCCCAGCCCAGACAGCTGTAAAGTATCATCGATGAGACGTCAGACGGTGTTGGCTCAGTTGCCCGATCCTGTTTATCCCTTGTCGCTGTGGGCTTGTCAGTTTGCCATAGTACTTGTTGGACCTTCGCTTCCTACTGGTTGATCTGATTTATACAGTCTGATGTAGTACTTTCTAGGTTGCCGCTTCCCACTGTTTGATCTGATTTACATTTTGGAACTCAGGAATATCTACTTATTTTATTTATCTTCAGTGTTGAAATGCTGAATGGGGCGATGAGTATAACATGCGTCGTCTATCTACATGGCTCGTCAGCAGACCGCTGCCTCGAAGTCGTCCCTGTCCAGCCTGCCAACCGCGGCACAGAGGCCCGCTAAGTCACGTGACCGGCATCTGGACCGTCCGGCTCCTAAATACGAGTGTCACGTGAGCCCGCCGCCGGTCGGCAGCCGTCCGGTGCGGATCCTCCGCTCGGGAGATACGCTGCTCAGGATTGCACTGTCAGGTCAGTTTGTTTGTTGTCCGGAGTGGTGCGTGGATGAGTTTGACAGTTCCAGACTTGTATCGATGTCTCTTGGAAACGGAAGTTTTTTTTTGCACTAAGATGCTTGTAGCGTTTGTTCAACAAGTATTTACTACATAGGCTGATTGTTTAATATTGACATGTGGCGTTAGTGACGTTAGTATTTCGTATTTGTATCACGTCGTCAAATGATTCTTGTTGCGTGGACCGGGACTACATACTTCCGAACATCCCACCATGACGGTCTAGGCTGCAAATGGTATCACGGATGTGGAATTTATCGTTGTGCTGACTGCTGATACTCGTCTGTTTTCAATTAACTCTGTTGACTAGATTTCGGTGTTCTCTGCTGAGTCCCTGGTGCGGTGCCACTGGTCACCCCGTCTGCTCGACACTCATTAGGCTCGCCCGTCTCATCTCTGTCGCTCTCCATCTGGCAGGCAGCGGTCGCCACGTCGCCTGCGCCAGCCAGCAGGGCGGCTCGCTGGAGGTGGCCCGACTGCAGCAGCTGGAGGCGACTCAGGGACAGTTTCTGCTGGGCACGCAGGGCGCCATCACCTCCGTGGCGTGGAGCCTGAGCGGCCGCCGGCTGGTGAGCGGGGCACGGCAAACGCCAGCTGTACCAACAGTTCCGTGTATGTAGTTCGGTGGAGCGTGCTTTTGTGAGGCGTTTTCACAGGGGTGGGGTCCCGACATGGGTTTCAAACTTTCAAGCAAAGTTGTCTCGACTGGTCTTGATCATGACTTCTTGATTTTGAGTCATGATCTTGTGGTGTAGCTTGTACAGTTTTTGTTTAAGTCATCGGAGTCAGTTGGTTTTTGCGTTACCGATGTGATCGTTTAATCATTTAGAGATGACTATTTTTAATGCCGATTTTGCGTTACCACTTGCCTTCTGTAAGTTAAGCCTTTTTGTATGCAAGTTTCTTAAGCTTGCAAGACTGCTTTAAGTACTTACATCGTTTTCATCCCGGTCCCCATGTCCATTGTCCACGCCTGTCCGCGGTACTGCCATAAAACATTGACATACGGACCACTGACATCAGGCGTCGTGTCTGCGCCAGGCGGCCTCCTCGGCGGCCGGGGTGCAGCTGTGGTCGTTCCCAGAGGGGGAGCCGTGCGGCCGCCGGCCCGCCGGCTCCCACCCGTACACGGCCGCCCAGTTCTTCTTCACGGACGGCTTTCTGCTGGCCAGTCGCGGCGACACGGTGGAGCTGAGTCGCCTGCCGCCGGAGGGCGCCGCCGGAGGCCGCGGCCGGGGGGCCGGCCCGCTGCGGTCGGCGCTGCAGTGCCGGCTGCCCTGTCGAGAGGTGCTGCACGTCACCAGCGGCTGCCAGCTGCGCTCCGCGCTGGCCGTGGCCTGCTGCTCGGACCGCGCGCTGCGCCTCATCGACATGCAGACGGGCCGCGTGGCGCTGACGCTGGCGGACGCACACCGGCGGCCGGCGCACGTGGCGCGCCTCTGCGAGGGCTCGCCGCACCTGCCGGCCGCGCTGCCGCTCTACGACCTGATCGGCTCGGCGGCCGTCGGCGACGGCGTGCGTCTGTGGGACGCGCGCTGCGGCCGGCTGGCGGCCCGGCTGCCGGCCGCCGAGCTGCGCGCCCTGCCGGCCGGCTTCCAGTTCAGCCCGTGCGGCCGGCTGGTGGCGCTGGGCTCGGACGCCGCCCACCTGTGGCTGTGGGACGTGCGCTCTGGCCGCGGCCCGCTGGCCCGCCTGCGCGCCGCCGCCGCCGGCGTCACAGACGTGGCGTTCCTGCCGCGCCGGCCCGGCCTGGTGGCGGCGCTGCTCGACGGCCGCCTGCAGACGTGGCCGCTCGACGGGGGTCGGACGGAGTGACCCCGACGGCAGCGCAGCGGATACTCGGGGACCGAGGGCGTGTGTGTGATACAGGTGTAATATAGGCGGATGGATAATCATGACTGACGCGTTATTTATTGTGCTGCTGTGAGACTCGGTTCCGCCAGGCGTGAGCTGCACAGGAAGACTAGGAGCATGCATTGCAAGAAGTGATGAGATGATTGATGAAGTCCTGTCAACGAAGGTAGTGATCACGGCATTATAATTATTTGCACATAGTATTTGATCTCAGTCTCACTTAGCTGGTGTTCAATGTTCATTTGTAATCATTCACCCGTGTTGCCTTCATGAAGACAATGTCGGTATTTGTCACCTTATCGAGCCGTTCAAACTCGCTTTATGTAAAACCAATAAAGGCATTTTGATTGACTGTTTTATTTTGATATTGATTGCTGGTGCGATGCAACAGCGATGGGCTGTCCTAGCGGGCATGGCTTCGGTGGCCCGACACTTAAACCTTAAAAGCTTTCGAAACCTGAAAAGCTTTCGAAATGTTCTATTTTTATCCCCCTGAAAAAAAGAATGCTGACAATAAAATCACGAGTATAGGTACTCGACGGCGAGATTACTTCTCGACGGGGTCTGACCACGGACGTATAAATAAACTGGACTGACAATCCCAATGGACCTCCTATGGAAGATACTGAAGCCGACAAGGCGCCATTTTGCGTTGCCAAAAACCCGTGCCGTGAAAGGTAATCGAGCCAATACAATTGGAATTGTGTCTAAACGGATGATCGGATCGAGATGCTGGTGGTACCGTTCGACGGGTAATGCCTTGGGGCAGGTGATGATGCATGTCACAGGTCACCCGGTGTCACATGGCGCGTGCCACGTGCCGACAAACTTACAAAGGGCAAAAACCTTTAAGCGACGCTTGAAATCAAACGAAGCGCGGCACAGGTGCCAAACTCACAGGTCACATGTCCCAATGTTCGACCACTAACATATGGTATGCTCGGCATCAGGGGGTGCGGAATGCACGCGCTAGTGGCGAAAAACATGTTTTGAGGAGGCATCCCCCGATTCCGGAAAACCTTGACCTAGGCACACCAAATTTGGCACACTGACACTACTGGACACGCGCTTTAACCCGCGCACCGACGGGGGTCTGCGCCAACTTAGTACCGACGGGGGGGGGGGGGGGGGCGGATGACCGCCCCTCCCCCCTGAGATCTCGAGAACGAAGCAAGATAGCGACAAGCGGTAAACGGCATCGGATACGCACGGACAAGGTCTACAATTTTTACTAAGGTCATTTTCAGGTCAGGTCAAATATGACGTCACAGGGGTCGAAAAAGTCAAAATGGCGGCGCTAGATATGGAGAGGGTTTTTCTCGAATAACTTTCGAAGTAGTCAAGATAGGAACAAACTAAGGACATCATCGTGATCCTCTCGTCAATCCGCATCGAATGATATATATGTTGACCTCGGAAGGTCAAGGTCAAAGGTTGACCTCAGGTCACGTGACCTCGAGGTCATCATGTATATCATTCGATGCGTCTTGACGAGCTGAACACAATGAGACCATCCGCGCGGCTGTATGTTGTTCCTGTAAGGAGTTATTGGCAAAAAACCTTTGGTGACCTTTGATGACGTCACATGACCTTACAGCTGCCCAACAGCAAAACAGACCTCAAGGTAGTGAAGGTTGATCGCATGTGAAGTCAGGTATGGTATATGGGGCCATTCCGACCCGTTTTAGTGGTAAAAACAGGGAGTTGATTTTTCCCCCATTGACTTATAATGGGGAGGTCGCGAAATTGACCTGACCTTAGGTCACCGACATCAAAATTCCGAGATATACAAATTGTAGCTACTAATGACCTTATAACATCCTGCGACTTTCAAAGGCCTCCGACATCTACTGTAGCTCTGGCACGGTGACAAAGTTGCAAAAAAGTGACTTGAGGTTGGGTCATTCAAAGTGACCTGGTGACCTGACCTTAAAAGTTAGGAGGTTCAAACTTGCACACCATGTGTAAAATTGATGAGAGAATAGTCAGTTTTCCCGCTATCCGCGAAAAACCTCAGGGGGGGGGCGGATATCCGCCCCCCCGTCGGTGCGCGGGTTAAGGTGCTGTACAAATAGGCGTGCTGGGGTACATGGTGCACGTGCTGTGCACGTGCAAACCTTTTGATGGTGCACTCCAGGTGTCACATATGCGGGTAGGGCGGTAGCGCTGGCAAGCTCAAAGTGCCAAATTTACACAGGCCACCCAGAATGTATTCCAGCATAGTCATTGAGCATATCCATCTCCTGGTGGCCCCCAAAGATGCGCTCTGCACGTGCAAAAAAATTATCCGCGCCGGGCGGTGGGGATGATTGGACACCCTATGTGGATTTATGCAAGGCCGATTTATGTAAATATCTCGAAAACGGCGATGTGTAGCGCCGCCGTTTTCGGCACACCTTTTCATACATTTTTTTTTCACAAATGCTGCATAACTTTCAGACTTAGGTCGCTCAAGGTTAGGTCACCAGGTTACGTCCAAGTGGCCTTACCTTAGGAAAAATTATAATGCCCGTCATAGCTACACAGACTATACAACCGGCTTAAAACGTGCAGCAATTGATAAGATCAACAGTATATACGTAGAGTACCTACCTACCTCTACCTCGAAATTTAAATATCACTGACCTAGGGTTCTGTTGATTTTGCGACCTCAGACCACCAGCACGGCAAATCATTTATTTTGTCAAATTCGGGCTTCGAACTTTTTGCTACCCAGTAACGCAAATTTACGCCTCAATCGCCGGCCAGCGCAGCATAATTAGGCATCTTTGTTATCTACGTTGTTTGCGCCTGCAGTAATACTGTACCGCAATAACCATTATCTTCATCTTTCACCCATAGATGGCAGTAGCAAAGCGCCTGCATCTATGCTGTGCCGCAGTGCTCTTACAATACGAGCTGAGCAATGAGCATTGAGCAAGCAAGTGATATTGAAATCATAGGCTGCGGAACGAGAGGGCACCGGGGCACCGTGCCCCCCTTTGATTTTGGCATTTTAACATAGCCCTTTCCATGCAACGCCCTATGGGCGTTGCATGGAAAGAATGGGACCAAAAGTCGGCAGTGCCCCCCTTTAATTGAAGGTGTTCCGCCGCCACTGATTGAAATTCCTAGGTAGAGGTACTCTACGTATATACTGTTGCTCTTATCAATCGCTGCACGTTTTAAACCGATTGTTCAGTCTGTGTAGCTATGACGGGCACTATAACTTTTCCTAAGGTAAGGTCACTTGGACGTAACCTGCTGACCTAACCTTGAGTGACCTAAGTCTGAAAGTTACGCAGCATGTGTGAAAAAGATGTATGAAAAGGTGTGCCATAAACGGCGGCGCTACACAACGCCATTTTCGAGATATTTACATAAATCCACATAGGGTGTCCAAGCATCCCCACCGCCCGGCGCGGATAATTTTTTGCACGTGCAGAGCGCACCTTTGGGGGCCACCAGGAGATGGATATGCTCAATAACTATGCTGGAATGCATTCTGGGTGGCCTGTGTAAATTTGGCACTTTGAGCTTGCCAGCGCTACCCGCCCTACCCGCATATGTGACACAGAGTGCAACATCAAAAGGTTTGCACGTGCACAGCACGTGCACCGTGTACCCCAGCACGCCTATTTGTACAGCACCTTAAAACGCGTGTCCAGTAGTGTCAGTGTGCCAAATTTGGTGTGCCTAGGTCAAGGTTTTCCGGAATCGGAGGATGCCTCCTCAAAACATGTTTTTCGCCACTAGCGCGTGCATTCCGCACGCCCTGATGCCGAGCATACCATATGTTAGTGGTCGAACACTGGGACATGTGACCTGTGAGTTTGGCACCTGTGCCGACCTTCGTTTGATTTGAAGCGTCACTTAAAGGTTTTTGCCCTTTGTAAGTTTGTCGGCACGTGGCACGCGCCATGTGACACCGGGTGACATGTGACATCCATCATCACCTGCCTCAAGGAATTACCCGTCGAACGGTACCACCAGCAACTCGATCCGATCATCCGTTTGGACGCAATTCTAATTGTATTGGCTCGATGACCTTCCAGAGCACGGTTTTTTGGCAACGTAAAATGGCGCCTTGTCGGCTTCACCTGAATGGAGGTGGTTGCGGGTCCAGTTTATTACGAGCGAGCGAGCGCAGCGAGCGAAGCGAAGTCTTTTCAATATAAGGGAAAAATCTCAGTATGAGCGGCCCGGCCCGGCCCGGCCCGGCCTGTAACGCTTTTGAGAGGCTTATATCTCAGCAACCGTTGGACCGATTGGCCTGCGGTCTTTTTTGCTGGGTAGCCCCATCCCTTCTACCCCGTAATTGACTACTTTTGATACATCTCAGTGACCGTCGTGGCACGTGCCACGTGAAAAGTCAAGGGTGTTCAAGCAGTTTCGCAAAAGTAATGATTTTGAGAGGCCCATATCTCAGCAGCGGCTTGAGCGATTGTCTTGCGGTAATTTTTATAGGGTAGCTGCATCCCTTCTACCAAAGGTCGGATACTCTTGATCTATGTGAGTGACCCCCACTGCACGTGCAAAACACAAAAAGAAGAGGTGCCAAATTTGTTCCCATTTAAGTAACTCGGTAATTACTGGGGCGATTTCGCTGAAACTTGGCATACAGGTAGGCACCCACTAGGCAATGCATTCCCATGTGTTGCGGTTAGGGTGCTACTGCACGTGCGCACGTGCAGGGGGCGCTTCCAGATCTCGAGAACGGCTGGGCCGATTGCGCTCAAATTTGGTACACGGTTGGGGACCGGTTAGTAGGGTGCCGTGCAAAAGTCATTTTGGACCCCGTTTGCACGTGCGCACGTGCAGAATGCCGCTTCCAGATCTCAGGAATGGCTGGGCCGATTGCGTTCAAATTTGGCACACCGCTAGCGACCGGTTAGAAGGGTGCTTTGCACAAGCCCGTTGGAAGTACCTTCTCGCCCTTCCGCACGTGCAGGGCTCACTATCTCGCTCGCTCGTTCTTCGCCCAAAAGGCTTACTGGTTTATATGTCCGTGGGTCTGACGGATTTTTTCCTTTTGTGAAATCAAAGGCCAGAAAACCTGCAGAAAACGTCAATTTAGCTGCGCCATTTTTTAGTCTCGGCCCGTCACGGCCCTTAGCTTGTCCCAGGCTGGCCCAACCCTTTGGCCCAGCCAGCTATAAGTAAAGTAATCTTGCAGCCAGCACTTGTACTTAGCCCAAGTTTAGGATTGCCGAGTGCTTTGCGTGCTGAAGTTGGGTTTGAGTTGAATGCTGAAGTAATAGCTGGCTGTGGATCTAAATAACGCAGTGCTGTTTTGCAAGCTGTAATGTGGTCGTTGACGTTCTATATCAATTAGTCGCTTCGTCGCTTCGCTTCCATAGATAACTGCTATATCAGGACGGAATATTTTGACCGACCTATAGTTTCATCAGAACGTTTTCTTGGAGCGGGTTGTTCGAGGTGATCGGATAACCCGGTCAGACAACTAGTAGGAAGCAGTAATGTTTGTTGGGCTGTTTGTCATATGTGCCACGCAGCTGTTTTTTGTGGTCACAACAGACTACTGCAACGAAGGGAAGTGTGGATCTCCTACTATGCAAATACCCCGAAGAAACTCCCGGAGAAAAATGCCTCTCGATGTCGGGCTCCGGTATCAAAGCTGAGGAGGTGGAAAGCCTCCTGCACCTTCACAACAAGTGGAGAGACCACGTCGCCGCCGGAAAGGAGTCGCGGACCCTCGGCGGGGCGCTGCCGCAGGCGGCCAACATGGGCGCTCTGACGTGGGACCAGGAGCTGGCTCGTGCGGCGCAGCGCTGGGCGCTGCAGTGCATCATCGAGCACGACCAGTGCAGAGACATGCCCGGGATGCCCGTCGTACAGAGCCTGGCCTTCTCCTGTGTTTTAACACGCGCACCGACGGGGGGCGGATATCCGCCCCCTGAGTTTTTTTTTGCGAATAGCGGAAACGCCGCGAAATTTGGTACGACTATTTCATCATCAATTTTACACATGGTGTGCAAGTTTGAACCTCTTAACTTTTAAGGTCAGGTCACCAGGTCACTTTGAATGACCCAACCTCAAGAAACTTTTTGGCAACTTTGTCACCGTGTCAGAGCTACAGTAGATGACGGAATCCTTTGAAAGTCGGAGGATGCTATTAGGTCATTGGTAACTACTATTTGTATATCTCGGAATTTTGATATCGATGACCTAAGGTCAGGTCAATTTCTCGACCTCCCCATAGGTAAGTCAATGGGGGAAAAATCAACTCCCTGTTTTTCCACTTAAACGCGTCAGAATGGCCCCATATACCATACATGACTACGATCAAACTTCAACTTCACTACATTGAGGCCTTTTTTGCTGTTGGGCAGCTGTAAGGCCATGCGACTTCATCAAAGGTCACCAAAGTTTTTTTCTGCCAATAACTCCTTACAGGAACAAGATACAGCCGCGCGGATGGTCTCATTGTGTTCAGCTCGTCAAGGCGCATCGAATGATATACATGATGACCTCGAGTTCACGTGACCTGAGGTCAACCTTTGACCAAGTTGAATCAGCTGACTCATGTTCCTAATTCCTAAATGTTTGGTTCAACTCAATGTCAAAAGTTATTTTACTGACTCAACTCTGACTCAACTCAACGCCTTAATATTTTGTCCGACTCAACTCTTACTCAACTCAACAGCTCAACATTTTATCTGACTCGACTCAAATCTGACTCATTTGAGTCAGAGTTGAGTCAAATTTCTGACTCGACTCATGAGTCAAGCACAACCCTGCCCCCGCCCCCCCCCCCCCCCTGTGTCGGCGAGGGTTAAGTTAAGCATGCATGCATAGGTATTATCACTGCTTTCTTGCACCCGGGACGATAAAGTTAAAATGGATCAGAAATATGTGCTGGAACTGAAAAGGAACTGCCCTGCATAGTGCATAGGATAATGTGTAGAGTGACTATAGTGACTGCGCCGTTTACCATCGCCACGCCACTCCTGTGTTCGTTCCACTTCCTGCACAATTATCCAGCCCGTGCCCAGCACTTAAAAAGCATCTCCATCGGTTTATTGTCCTTGTATGAGTACATACCTATAGGCATTCGTTCGGCATAGACGCGGAATCCTGCGGAGCGTCGGATAGACCGTACCGCAATGCATGCCTGTCAGGCGGGACAGTCTACCTTCCAGAGATCGCGCATATTCGACAGAACGCAATAAATGACTGGTCTTACGCATCCGTCGCCATCCGTTGCATACTGATATGCAGTTTGTTTGATGGTAGGAGGTTAAAACTAAGTGCCTACCAAGAATCAACCAAAGCCGGACCTAGGTACCTATCGGTTTTTCTTGTCATACGCTCCCGCCGAGGGGCGTCCCCTCAGCCGTTTCGCTCCCAACTGAGCAGTCTTGGGGAAAAACGAGCTTGTGCGCCGTTAGATGGCGCAGCGACTGGTATCCTATCTTAACCTTCCAAGCGGTGCACTGTAGGCCGGCAGCCCGGAAAGCGCTAGAAATTCCCCCAAACTGACTGTCCGCAATATGAACAAAATAGGTATCATTAAATCCCAAATTAATACATACTTTACGGTGCGTTCACTGGAGATTAACTGTGCGTTAATTCGAAGGTAGCCGTGCACCAAAATATGATTTTGTAAATGGCCTGGAGTGTATAAAGCACATTGATGCACGAGTCGGACTAATCTATGCGCTCGTCTATTTGTGCACGAGTTTCCCTCGACAAATTTGACAGGACTTTCGAAAGCCTTGTGAATTTTGCGGATCCGTCCAGTAGTTTCGGAGATACGGGGGGGGGGGGCAAAAAATGCCCCCCCCCCCACGCGCGGAAGGTGGCCGGGAGGCCCACCGCCTGCCGGGTAGTAAGTCCTGTAGGCTGTAAGTTTCATTTCATATATACGCACCGTCCATGAGATCTACCAAGGTACATACCTACATGATATCTATGATATCCACATGATATCTACAGGGTGTCTCAAAAGTTCGCTTACAGGTACCAGCCATGCTTTTTTGTCAATAATTCTGAATCAACATGAAATTAACAGTCGAAATTTTGCATGGGAATTGGTAACAACCTTCCTCAAGCAGCTTCATTGTTTTCAAGCGCATTCGACCCTTCATGAGCACACAAAAAGGGTTCACCTCTGACCATGGATCAGGCATGAAAATGGAGGTCGCATACTCGGGTCGGCTGAGAAACTCTCTGCTTCACGAGTAATGGGAATGGTTAGGTCGGAAATGACACATGGCAAAGTGTCGGCGAGGATGAGTACAACATGATGGTCATCTAATAAAAACGGTGGCTAAAATTTTTGAAGGACAAAACCATGCGAGACTAACAGCGCTTTGAACGACCCTTGTACCGCAGCAGACTCGTGCTCCGGAAAGCAGCTGAAAATGCAGTCCTAACTATTGAAAACTGACTAGAAGCTCACAGACAGAGGTTACCCAGTTTCAAAAATTGCAAGTCATCATAAAATAAAGACAAAATATCATTTAAAATTGTTTATAATATCTATAGCGCTAAATTTTGAGGGAAAATATTGCGAAAATCGTCAATGCCGAGGACAAGTGACCCTGCAAAAGTGTCAATTAATGTAAAGTTTTATCTAACGAAGTTTCAAGAGGCAGATCTGGAGCAAATAGCTTTCTTTTACACACAAAATCCGGACAAAACCGCACGATGGACAGGTTTTGGCCGTTTACGAAGCAGAACCTCTCCTGAGGAAAACACTCCGGAACCCAGCGAAGGTCTTGGCATTGGGAATGACGAGCGTTCGGGATTTGCAAATTTTGCAAAATGTGTCTAAGAAACAGATGGCCGACACATTCTGCTACGATATGCTGCGAAAAATTTGCCCCTGGCACTTCCCATTTGTTCAGGAATGGGGTTGTTTTGAAAAGGAAAATGGTGCTTGGGAGGTCGGCGCCAGTCATTCATGAAGGAGTTAGCGCCAGAGAAGACAAACAAAATACTCACGGATGGTGTCGATGCAAGCTATCGGCTTTCAGGGAGAAGCGGATGTTGCCGGGGAGCTCGTCAAACCTAAATCCGACGCAGAAACTCCGGGGGATTCCCCTACAAGAGCTTGAAAGCTGGTAACTTTTTATCAGCCTCCGGCAGCTGACGGAGTGACGAAAATCGGTATGGGCAAATATTTTTGGAGATACAGCAAAGGGTTTGGTTTCCAACCTTCCGAATCAGTTGTCAAAGCATGCATATTTGTCTAGTGTACACACGGACACCAAAACCTTAAATTTTTGGCCGGTTCTTATATGCTTTATTGACATGGGAAATGTGTAAGCGAACTTTTGAGACACCCTGTACATACATGATATCTGCATGATATCTATTATTGTAGATATCATGGACGGTGCATCGTTATTTCGAGAGCCATGTATATATGAAATTATTCTCTCATCAAGGAGCTGATTGAAACGCTGCACGATTTATTGATTGATTGATGGAACCGAATTTTGTTTGTTTGTGTTGACAATTGTTGCTGTACATTCTGAAGATGGCGCAAGCCGAAATATATCAATGATTTTGTTTAATTATTCAATTTCAACAAAAAGTGCAAAGAATGAGCATAAGGTTATTTATACATAGGTACTTTTTTATTTATGATGATGCTCAAAGACACCATTGCTCGCCTACAGCAAGGAAAATTGTCTCTACACCTACGCATAGTGGAGGTATCTAAATAACACTCCCACGAGATATTCCATGCAGGCACTTGGCTTATGCAAAGAAGAGAAAAGAAAACGCGAAAATGCTCAAGAATTTCACCAATTGCACCCAATGCACCTGCAAGACCAGCAATGTGCACGACTTTTGCATGTATACTTCTTATTGTTCAATTTAAGTCCATAACACTTTTATGCATCCGGGAATGTTATTGATCCGGAGCAGAGCAGTCAGCAGAGTACTTGTTTGGCTATTCATAGCATGGATCCCCTTTGTCACAACAATAGATTATTGCAGCGAAGTAAGGTGCATTGAAGGCCAGCACACGATGTGCACATACTCCAGCGACAGTCCTGGGAGTGAATGCGTCTCTCTCACGGGTCAAGGAGTCGACTCAAAACAGATTGAAGATCTACTTCATGTTCATAATCGGTACAGGGACTATCTGGCTGCCGGAAAGGAAACACGCACGCTCGGTGGTGCGATGCCTGAGGCGGCAAATATGGGTGTGCTGACCTGGGACGAGGAAATAGCTCGAATCGCGCAGCGCTGGGCTCTTCAGTGCCACTTTGGTCACGATGGGTGCCGAGATCTTCCTAACATGCAGGTGGGCCAGAACGTGGCCATCGCTGGCAGCTCCGTCTCGGGACCGCCGAACATGACCAGCCTCGCCGTGATGTGGTACGAAAAGGAGGTCGGCATGTTCGACGCCGGCGGCGTAGCCAGTTACCAGTTCTCCATGCAAACCGGCCACTTCACCCAGTGGATCTGGGCCACCTCGTACAAGATCGGCTGCGGCTACGCCGGCTTCAAGAGTGGGATGATGAACAACAACTTTCTAGTCTGTAACTACGGTCCGGCCGGCAACGTGATGCGCTGGCCCATCTACCAGCAGGGATCACCGTGTTCCGCCTGTCCGCGCGGAACGACGTGCGGCGGCGACAGCCGCTACCCGAACCTCTGCAAGGCAGAGGGCGACGAAGTGCCGGGAGGAGGCGGTCACTCTGCCTTCGGAGAGGGTCAGTACGAAAAGCTGAACTCAGGCTCGGTGCCGGGGCGCAGCGCGCTGCTGGCCGGTCTGTGCGGCGCTCTAGTCTTCTGTGCGTCTGCCCAACTGCTGCTGTGACACAGACAGCTAGTGTCTGCTCCCCGACGGACGGCTGTGTACCATGCGTTAGCCTCCACCACTGCGCACCCTCTGGTGATGGCGTGGGGAGGATGTGAGCCATGTGCAAGGTGACGCATGTTTCCATCCACAACGGGCAGGTGTGCGTGTTGAACATGTTCCCGAGTGCTGCCGATCGCCGCTGCTCCTGCAAATATGTTGAATGATCTGTGAATATAAGTGACTGGCTAATCAATAATACATGCCGTACATACAACGATCCCCATTGGTTGTTCTACATGTCTTTTTTATCGTTGTAAAATCCAAAATATGAAGTAATAAAGAAATAATATACCTATGTTAGAAAAGCAGGAAGGTAGGTACAGTCTTTCCACCTACCTTCTAATTTTCAGAAAGATCGAGTCAAAAATGCTGAGGTTATTCAAATTTTAATCACGTTATAACAAACCCAATGTTCGAAAAATGACATCTTTGGACGTTTTAGACCTCGTGCGGGAACAAAAAAGCACCATTCGAATCTTCGATTCAACCTGAAACATTGCATCAGATCAGGCGCGTACCTAACCACCACTGGGGACACTGGGGACCGGTCCCCAGTAACTTTTAGGTTACTGGGGACCGTCCCCAGTAAAACCGAGGACCTCCTTAATTTGCTGCCAACTATTGTCTCTAAATCGACGTGAAGAGTAATATGTAGGTAGTAAAAAAGACAAAACTATGGATATTTTGTTTAGCCAGCGCCCGGGTGGGCCTCTCGGCCAACTTCGCCATGGTGGGGGGAGGGGGGGGGGGGGCTTTTTGGCCGCACCAGATTATCTCGGAAAGTAAGCAAGCTAGAAAGACGCGGTAAAAAGCAACATATAGCTCGCTACAGTGTCTTTCAGAATTACTTCTGTCAATTTTAATCGGTTCAGCGATGAGGTCACTGGAGGTCACCAAAGGTAAAATTTTCACGAACGTTTGTTGCCAATTTTGACAACTTTTCACAAATCGGCGCATAAGTCAGGAACCGATAGAGCTGCATTGCTGCGGGAAAGCGCATTCGATAGCTCTTTTGAATGCCTTTCTGATTAATGTTCTCAGATTTGACCTAAGGTCAACGGTTTAGCTTCCAGGTTGGCGTTTTTGCGGAAAAGGTTTTTGGATCATAACTTTTGACTCAAAACTTGTATGACGCTGATTTTACCGGCATCGCGTTTGTCTCGTCGAGACGCGTCGAATGAATTATAAATTTACCTGAAAAGGTCAACATGAAAATTTGACCCCTGGTCAAGGTCACAGAAAAGGTCATGTTGCATGTCATTCGATTGGTGTTGTTGAGCTGAACCCATTTATGGTGTTTTAAGGGCTCTAGCATGTTTCTATACCTAACAGGGCTGGTAAAAATGGTTTTGGTGGCTCTGACCAAATTTTTGGCCATGAAAAGTGGCTCCTAACACTCGTAACAGGAAAGGCTTGAAAGTGAGGTGAACAACGTCCTTTTTCAGGAACACCTTAAAATCCATCAGTGACTATTTTAGTTTTACTTATAGCTCACTGATGTATCCTGATTTTGGGACATCGGCTGGTGTCAAAAACAGCAAAAGAATGTAGGTATATAATTTCTTCTACTTTTGTTTAAGCTGGTTGGTGACAGAAATGTAAGGCACAAATGCATGTAAGGCAATGAATGTTGTTGACAAAAAATATAATACTGACTCACCAACAGAGGAAATTTCATCATCTCGCCCACTAGCATAGATCTTCCGCAGGCTGGTCATTGTCTGCGTCATCTGAGATACACATGATTGAATTGATGATGTCCTAAGCTGATAACTGAAACACAAAGGCAAGTGAAAGTCTTATATTAATTTTAGTTACAAAATGCCTGAAATATAAATCAGGATTGCTTATATAGGCATATTTTGAGTATGACTACCAAAAAGAAAAACATGCAGAGAGGAACATATCTTGATATTCAAAATTTAATTTAATTTAGTAACAAATATGCTAACCATACTGGGTTGGTTGGCAAATAAATGAGTATCGTTAGCCACTTGAGTTAGGTATCCGTATGCATCTTCAAAACAAAAACAAGCGCCATATTTATGTCTAGCTCCACAGCTTGATCAGCTTAAAATATTGAGGTAGGTGGTCTATGATATTGCTATGAGATTGAGATGTACTGTACAGAAGAGGAGCAACTTCAAATGCAACCGAAAAACAACCAACATACCGTGAAATGTACAATTTGCCCGTGCCGCAACCATGCACGAGACTTCTTGACATTGATAAAAATGAAAAGGCCACTTGAATATCATTATTTGTGTTCTAAACTAGTCGGTAATACAGTGAACCGCCAATGGTAGAAGGCTCTGTGGCTCCCCGTTCGCTCAACACTAGGTCCTCATCATGTAACGGAAGTTGGCACAGATTCAGCACAGATTCAGCACAGCACAGATTCGGTAGGGGGAAAAAAGGCCCCGGTAGAGGGAAACCTTTATGACCCGTTTTCCCCTAGAAATGACGTCACAAAGAGGTAAAAATGGGTATCAATCGAAAGCTCTCGTTTACCCAGACACAGTCCTGCAGGAAAATTCCACTTTTTCCCCATAGGAAAGTTTTTACGGAAAAATCAAAATTTCGGGTCAATGGGGGGTCCCCCCCGATTTCGTTCAAAATCGGCACACAGGTGCCCCACCACCAGCCGAGAAACTTTCCCCAAAACGGTCCCCGTTGCATTGACGTTTAAGGCCCTTAAAGCCCCGTAAACTCGTAAAAAATCCGTAAATTCGCCCTTGTACGGCCAAAAACGGGGCGCTAGGGTAAAAATGGGTATCAATCGAAAGCTCTCGTTTACCCAGACACAGTCCTGCAGGAAAATTCCACTTTTTCCCCATAGGAAAGTTTTTACGGGAAAATCAAAATTTTGGGTCAATGGGGGGTCCCCCCCGATTTCGTTCAAAATCGGCACACAGGTGCCCCACCACCAGCCGAGAAACTTTCCCCAAAACGGTCCCCGTTGCATTGACGTTTAAGGCCCGTAAAGCCCCCTAGACTCGTAAAATATCCGTAAATTCGCCCTTGTACGGCCAAAAACGGGGCGCTAGGGTAAAAATGGGTATCAATCGAAAGCTCTCGTTTACCCAGATACAGTCCTGCAGGAAAATTCCACTTTTTCCCCATAGGAAAGTTTTTACGGGAAAATCAAAATTTTGGGTCAATGGGGGGTCCCCCCCGATTTCGTTCAAAATCGGCACACAGGTGCCCCACCACCAGCCGAGAAACTTTCCCCAAAACGGTCCCCGTTGCATTGACGTTTAAGGCCCGTAAAGCCCCCTAGACTCGTAAAATATCCGTAAATTCGCCCTTGTACGGCCAAAAACGGGGCGCTAGGGTAAAAATGGGTATCAATCGAAAGCTCTCGTTTACCCAGATACAGTCCTGCAGGAAAATTCCACTTTTTCCCCATAGGAAAGTTTTTACGGAAAAATCAAAATTTTGGGTCAATGGGGGGTCCCCCCCGATTTCGTTCAAAATCGGCACACAGGTGCCCCACCACCAGCCGAGAAACTTTCCCCAAAACGGTCCCCGTTGCATTGACGTTTAAGGCCCTTAAAGCCCCGTAAACTCGTAAAAAATCCGTAAATTCGCCCTTGTACGGCCAAAAACGGGGCGCTAGGGTAAAAATGGGTATCAATCGAAAGGTCTCGTTTACCCAGACACAGTCCTGCAGGAAAATTCCACTTTTTCCCCATAGGAAAGTTTTTACGGGAAAATCAAAATTTTGGGTCAATAAGGGGTCCCCCCCGATTTCGTTCAAAATTGGCACACAGGTGCCCCACCACCAGCCGAGAAACTTTCCCCAAAACGGTCCCCGTTGCATTGACGTTTAAGGCCCGTAAAGCCCCCTAGACTCGTAAAATATCCGTAAATTCGCCCTTGTACGGCCAAAAACGGGGCGCTAGGGTAAAAATGGGTATCAATCGAAAGCTCTCGTTTACCCAGATACAATCCTGCAGGAAAATTCCACTTTTTCCCCATAGGAAAGTTTTTACGGAAAAATCAAAATTTTGGGTCAATGGGGGGTCCCCCCCGATTTCGTTCAAAATCGGCACACAGGTGCCCCACCACCAGCCGAGAAACTTTCCCCAAAACGGTCCCCGTTGCATTGACGTTTAAGGCCCTTGAAGCCCCGTAAACTCGTAAAAAATCCGTAAATTCGCCCTTGTACGGCCAAAAACGGGGCGCTAGGGTAAAAATGGGTATCAATCGAAAGCTCTCGTTTACCCAGACACAGTCCTGCAGGAAAATTCCACTTTTTCCCCATAGGAAAGTTTTTACGGAAAAATCAAAATTTCGGGTCAATGGGGGGTCCCCCCCGATTTCGTTCAAAATCGGCACACAGGTGCCCCACCACCAGCCGAGAAACTTTCCCCAAAACGGTCCCCGTTGCATTGACGTTTAAGGCCCTTAAAGCCCCGTAAACTCGTAAAAAATCCGTAAATTCGCCCTTGTACGGCCAAAAACGGGGCGCTAGGGTAAAAATGGGTATCAATCGAAAGCTCTCGTTTACCCAGACACAGTCCTGCAGGAAAATTCCACTTTTTCCCCATAGGAAAGTTTTTACGGGAAAATCAAAATTTTGGGTCAATGGGGGGTCCCCCCCGATTTCGTTCAAAATCGGCACACAGGTGCCCCACCACCAGCCGAGAAACTTTCCCCAAAACGGTCCCCGTTGCATTGACGTTTAAGGCCCGTAAAGCCCCCTAGACTCGTAAAATATCCGTAAATTCGCCCTTGTACGGCCAAAAACGGGGCGCTAGGGTAAAAATGGGTATCAATCGAAAGCTCTCGTTTACCCAGATACAGTCCTGCAGGAAAATTCCACTTTTTCCCCATAGGAAAGTTTTTACGGAAAAATCAAAATTTTGGGTCAATGGGGGGTCCCCCCGATTTCGTTCAAAATCGGCACACAGGTGCCCCACCACCAGCCGAGACTCTTTCCCCAAAACGGTCCCCGTTGCATTGACGTTTAAGGCCCTTGAAGCCCCGTAAACTCGTAAAAAATCCGTAAATTCGCCCTTGTACGGACAAAAAAGTGGTGCTATGGTAAAAATGGGTATCAATCGAAAGCTCTCGTTTACCCAGACACAGTCCTGCAGGAAAATTCCACTTTTTTCCCATAGGAAAGTTTTTACGGGAAAATCAAAATTTTGGGTCAATGGGGGGTCCCCCCCGATTTCGTTCAAAATCGGCACACAGGTGCCCCACCACCAG